CTACGTTTTTTTTTGCTACCAGATACAAATAATTGAATGGTAATCAATGGAATAAATGTCAACGGGTGAAGAGTTTAAAATTTATCTGCATCGAGGGTCCTTCTTCTGTTTGCTACGATGGAAGAAAGGGTTTGTCGATCTTTGCAATACTACTGCAAAAGTTGCAAGGATTTTTTAAGGCTTGCTGGGGATATTTTTTGTATTCTGCGAGTTATGAATATATTTTCTTCGTGCTTGATAATTTAAGAACGTCTCTGATGACGATTTGGGATTATTATTTTTTGCTGTTGTTGAACTATATTTTATGCTGCATCTGTGTGGTGTTTAGTTATGGTGCATGATGTTTGAATTTGTTATAATGTAAATATTGGAATTTGTTGATGTTGTTGTAAAGCCATTTGATGCTTAACAATCATGTATTAGGCATTTTCGTTGAGGTTTAATTAATATAAATATAAATGCTGCACTTAAACGATGTAAGATAAGATAAAATTTCAATCGTTGTCCAGTATTTAACGCTCCGTGTTTCAGTTTATTCGTGATTTCAATATCAGAAGAAGGTAAAAGTTTTCAAGCTTTTTCAATTTTTGATGAAACTGAAAAACAAAAATGATTTTTATTAAAATACAATTATTATGAATGTTGGGATTTTGTTGCATGGGAAAGGATTTGGAAATAAAAAATTAAATAATAATTTCTTTTAAAAATAGAATTAAAAATCAATGGAAAATTAAGTTAATCATTTATGGTGGCAGACAACTCATTCAATGTCCCATTGATTTGTACATTTGAATTACTCAGCTCTTTTAAATGCTTTCTACATTGGAATCGCTCACTCTTTTGAAATTTAAATTCTGAATTGATTTCAAATTTTGGATTTCAATTTTAAATTTCAAAATGTAATGGTGGGAAAGGATTTGGAAATAAAAAAATTAAATAAATAATATTTTCTTTTAAAAATCGAAATAAAAATTATGGAAAATTAAGTTAATCATTTATGGTGGAAGACAACTCATTCAATGTCCCACTGATTTGTACATTTGAATTACTCAGCTCTTTTAAATGCTTTCTATATTGGAATTGCTCACTCTTTTGAAATTCAAATTCTGAATTGATTTCAAATTTTGGATTTAAATTTTAAATTTCAAATTGGAATGGTGGGAAAGGATTTGGAAATAAAAATTAAATAAATAATATTTTCTTTTCAAAATCAAAATAAAAAATTATGGAAAATTAAGTTAATCATTTATGGTGGCAGACAACTCATTCAATGTCCCACTGATTTGTACATTAGAATTACTCAGCTCTTTTAAATGCTTACTATATTGGAATTGCTCACTCTTTTGAAATTCAAATTCTGAATTGATTTCAAATTTTGGATTTCAATTTTAAATTTCAAAATGGAATGGTGGGAAAGGATTTGGAAATAAAAAATTAAATAAATAATAATTTCTTTTAAAAATTGAAATAAAAAATCAATGAAAAATTAAGTTAATCATTTATGGTGGTAGACAACTCATTCAATGTCTCACTAATTTGTACATTGGAATTACTTAGCTCTTTTAAATGCTTTCTACATTGGAATTGTTCACTCTTTTGAAATTTAAATTCTGAATTGATTTCAATTTTTGGAATTCAATTTTAAATTTCAAATTGTAATGGTGGGAAAGGATTTAGAAATAAAAAATTAAATAGATAATAATTTCTTTTAAAAATTGAAATAAAAAATTAATGAAAAACTAAGTTAATCATTTATGGTGATAGACAACTCATTCAATGTCCCACTGATTTGTACTTTGGAATTACTCAGCTTTTTTAAATGCTTTATACATTGGAATTGTTCACTCTTTTGAAATTCGAATTCTGAATTGATTTCAAATTTTGGATTTCAATTTTAAATTTCAAATTGTAATGGTGGGAAAGGATTTGGAAATAAAAAATTAAATAGATAATAATTTCTTTTAAAAATTGAAATAAAAAATCAATGAAAAATTAAGTTAATCATTTATGGTGGTAGACAACTCATTCAATGTCCTACTGATTTGTATATTGGAATTACTCAGCTCTTTTAAATGCTTTCTACATTGGAATTGCTCACTATTTTGAAATTTGAATTCTGAATTGATTTCAAATTTTGGATTTCAATTTTAAATTTCAAATTGTAATTGTGGGAAAGGATTTGACAATAAAAAATTAAATAATTAATAATTTCTTTTAAAAAATCAATGAAAAATTAAGTTAATCATTTATGGTGGCAGACAACTCATTCAATGTCCCACCGATTTGTACATTGAAATTACTCAGCTCTTTTAAATGCTTTCTACATTGGAATTGCTCACTCTTTATCCAAAATTTGAATTCTTTCAATTTTAAATTTCAAATTCGAATGGTGGGAAAAGATTTGGAAATAAAAAATTAAATAAATAATAATTTATTTTAAAAATCGAAATAAAAAATAATGGAAAATTAAGTTAATCATTTATGGTGGCAGACAACTCATTCAATGTCCCACTGATTTGTACATTTGAATTACCCAGCTCTTTTAAATGCTTTCTATATTGGAATCGCTCACTCTTTTGAAATTCAAATTCTGAATTGATTTCAAATTTTGGATTTCAATTTTAAATTTCAAATTGGAATGGTGGAAAAGGATTTGGAAATAAAAAAATTAAATAAATAATAATTTATTTTAAAAATCAAAATAAAAAATCAATGGGAAATTAAGTTAATCATTTATTGTGGCAGCCAACTTATTTAATGTCCCACTACTTTTTTGTTATTGTATATTATGAGTAAAAAAGACCTATACTTTTGTTTTGATGTATATCCACTATTTTTTACATGGATAATTGTTAGCCCTATTAATGCTGAATAAAAAAACAAAACATTAAAAAAATTTAAAAATAAAAAATTATTTATATTGTAAAATAAATTTGAAATTTGGAAATAAATTAAATGAAAAATTATGTGAACTTGATATGTGGGAAAAGAGTTCCACATTTAATATATATGCAGTGGAAAAAGATATATATAATAATTTTGAATTTAATATAAAATTATAGATTAAACAATAAAATATTTAAATTTATAAAAAAAACATTTATAGTAGATAAAAATTATTTAAAATTTAAAATTTAAAAGAAAAAATAAGAAATGGTATAATTTATACTTTACAATAAATAAATTAAAATTTTAACATAAAATTATTAAATATACATGTATAACCAATTAAAATAATATACATGTATTTTAAAAAAAAATATTTAACATAAAATTTTCAAATATACATGTATAACCAATTAAAAAAATATAAAAATCATAAATTAAAGTAGAAAAAAATTATATAAAAGAATATGTATAATTAATATAAAAAGTTTTAAATTTTAAATTTAAATAAAAGATGACGTCTGTCATTCTGTAAAAAAAAATTATTAAAATTTAAGAACTATAAAAATTAAAATTTTAATTTAGAACATAAGAGAGAAATTAAACTTTCATTTTTTTTTATAAACAAACTTTCATTTTTTTATTGCAATAGTGTAAGTAACACAAATACTTGCAAAAAATAATTATTTATATGAAATGCTGACTGTTAAAGGTGGAAAACTGGGCTCGGCCCGGATGGCCGGCCCGCCAATATATTTTTATAATTCAATTAAAATTTTATCTTTCTTCTTTATAATTAAATTACTAAATCTGATTTCAATTTTTGTAAATACAAATTTGTGAAATTTCAAAGACTAACGACACTAATCCTTGCAAAAAAAATTGCAAGTATAAAACGTTGATAGTTAGACGTGAAAAACTGGGCTCGGCCCGGAGGGCTGGCCTGCTAATATATTTTTATAATTCAACTGAAATTTTATCTTTCTTCTTTTATAATTAAATTTCTAAATCTGATTTTAATTTTTGTAAATATAAATTTTTGAAATTCCAAAGATTAACGACACAAATCCTCGCAAAAAAAAAATTATTATTATTTTATAAATCTTATTGTAGTAAATGAAAGTTCATCTCCGGGATAAAATATAAAAATCTAGACGCAACTATAAAATCTTTTTTTATGGATAAATATAAAAACCTATTACATGCTGATAGTTAGAGGTGACAAACTGGACTCGGCCCGGAGGGCCGACCCACAAACACATTTTTATAATTAAATTAAAATTTGATACTTTTTTTTATAATTAAATTCCTAAATCTGATTTTAATTTTTGTAAATACAAATTTGTAGAATTCCAAATACTAACGACACAAATCCTTGCAAATAATAATTATTTATTAAACGGGCAACGTTACTTTTACATACAATATTTGCACATCTTTTTCATTGTATTATTTTTGTACAATTGAAAAAACTCATAGGGGATGCTCTGCTAGGGTTTCTTGGATCCCTCGCCGCCATGCAGCCACCCACCGTTCGCGAACTGGATCTGGCACCGGATGAATCAGATAATCTGCATAGGAGTAAAAAGAAATACAAGGGAGAAGGTCATTTTTCAAGCGAGCAAACACCTGTCCAAAAGGAAGAGGCATGGATGGATGGGCAGACGAGCTTCAAAGAAATCCTCATGAGGCATAATGGGGAATGGGATGTGGATGAAGAAAAAGATATGGAAGAGGGGAACAAGATGCTCCTGGATGGGATCGAGCATGATGCGCACGTTCAGGAGAAAGAAAATGACCATGAGAAGATGGAGGAGCCGTCAGAAGTTACGTTAGAAGTGAGGGAGGATGGAAAAACGAATTTCAAACTCTCTGCTCTTTTCAAGCAAAAGGCGTGGAAGCCATGGCAGCAGTCGCTGATTATTAAGTTGCTTGGGAAGAAGTTTTCGATCAATTTTTTGAGGAAGAGACTGGATAACATGTGGTCAAGAGATGGCAAAATTTTCGTAACAGACATTGAGAACGATTTCTTTCTTGTTCGGTTTGAAAAGAAGTCAGATATGGAGCATGTTTTATCATGAGGTCCTTGGATTTTTTTCGATCATTATTTGGCAATGCGATCTTGGGAACCAGATTTCAATGCTTTCCAATCTCCTATTAATAAGATCACTGCGCGGGTGAGGCTTCCAGGGTTTCCTATTGAGTACGTGAACACCCCTCTGATAAAAAGTGTTGGAGATTGGATAGGCAAGTTTATTCGCTTGGATACGGCTACAACAAATCTTGCTAGGGGTAAGTTCGCCAGAATTTGTGTGGAGGTTGATTTAACCAAACCTCTAAAAGCGAAATATTTGATTGAAGGAAGATATAAGCAGGTGGAATACGAAGGTCTTCATCTCATTTGTTACTCTTGTGGCAAGTATGGCCATAGAGCTGAATCTTGTAACAGCAACTCGGGGTCGAATGGTGTGGCTGAAGGCGAAGGAGGAATGGCTATTGATGTAGATGGTCATATGGATAAGGGGACAGCTGGGGTTGAGGAGGACAGTCAAGAAGGCTTCGGGCCTTGGATGGTGGTAACTAGAGGAGGAAAAAAAGGAAGATTTGCTTATGGTAAAAGGGAAGTTAGAGGAGGAAAGGAGGCGATAGGAAGCAATACTAACTTTGAACAAATACCGAAGGAGGATAAACACGAAACAGAAGAAAACAATGAAGCTGCTAATGTTCAACGCGTTGAAGGTTTAGATAAAGCAATTATTTTGGTGGATGAGGAGAAGACTCGGACTTCAAGCAGACAGAAAAGGCAAGGATCCAATGATAGAGTTAGGCTTGTGGAAACTCAAAATGCTTTCAATCTTGTTTGGGACGATATTATGAGTCAAGACAAGGAAAAGGAGATAAGTGTGATTAATCAAAAGGAAATCTTCAAACGGATTCAAAACACAGTGCATGTGCGTTTAAATCCAACTTTTGATGGAACTAGGGAAGATGCTAGTTTAGGGCAGTTGATGGTGGAAGATACAAAAATAAGTTTGACAGGTACTGCGTCAGATATGCATGTACAACACTTTAAACAGGCTTCAGATGGTAGGGGTAGAGTGCAACATTTGAAACCTCCTGATACAAAAAATAGGGGGCATAAAGAGAGCAATGCCAATCCGAGAGCCATAGTCTCCCAACGTGGAGTAGGAAGGAATTTAACTGGTCGGTTGTCTCAGGTGCAATCTCAGCATGGATCTTCCAATAAAGGTATTTAATGTCTTTACTTTTTTGGAATTGTAGAGGTGCGGCCAAACCTTCACTTGGTCGAATTCCAAGGATGTTAGTAGATAAACATGATATCTGTATGTTGGTTTTATTAGAAACTCGTACTGGTGGTGTAAACAGTAGAAGGCTAATGAAGAAACTTCAGTTTAATTCTGCTATCTTTGAGGAGGCTAATGGTTTTTCGGGTGGTATTTGGGTGCTGAGTAACGATAAAAAGGCAAGAGTGCAACTTTTGTCTCAGTCGAATCAGTTTATTCATATGACTGTGAAGATTGATGATGGTCCTAGTTTTCTTTGCACGGCTGTTTATGGCAGTCCTAGAGAAGACGAAAGGCATGTTATGTGGGATGATGTTAAGCAATTGAGTCTCAACGTTAACCTTCCTTGGATTTTAGCTGGTGACTTTAATGACATAAAATGCATGGGGGAGAAGAAGGGAGGTTCTCAACCTGATTCGAATAAATGTGATAGGTTTGCAGGTTTCTTAAATGATTGTCATGTGGATGATCTTATCAGCTCTGGTTTTGAATTTATTTGGCAAGGCCCAAAGTGGAATCACTTGCAAAGAGTTTATAAAAAGTTAGATAGAGCAGTTGTTAATGTGAACTGGAGAATCTGATTTGAAGATGTTGAAGTCCGAATTCTTCCTAGGCATCATTCCGATCATAGTCCCCTTCTTGTGAAATTCTCCAATCGTCCCAATCTTTGGCAAGATCGACCGTTTCGATTTATTGCTTCTTGGTTAGACTATCCCAACTTCAACGATCTGATGCAGGATAAGTGGAATAAGAACGTTGATTTTAATCAGATGCTCAATAGATTTGTTCCAATTCTTAAAAAGTGGAATAAGGAGGTGTATGGAAACATAGGTAGAAGGAAGAACAGTTTGGTTAATGATATTGCCTCTGTCCAATTAAAGAGGTCTGTTGCGGATAGTCCGAATCTTCATGAACTGGAAATCAGTTTGCAAAATAGTCTTGATCATGTGCTGGAGGAGGAAGAATTGTTGTGGTTTCAAAAATCCAGACATAATTGGATTATGGATGGAGATAAAAATACGAAGTTTTATCACTTGCGGACGGTTATTAGAAGAAGCAGTAACAAAATTTCAAGGTTGCGTAGTGAGACCAACCAATGGATTGAAAATGTGAATGAGTTAAAAGATCCTGTCTGCAGTTTTTATAAAACTTTGTTTACAGAAGATATCGAAGAGAGAAGATGGCTCGCGTCTGCCAATCACTGGACGTCACTGTCTAACGCTCTAAAGGATGATTTGATTAAAGTTCCTAGTATGGCTGAGGTCACTAAGTTATTGAATGGCATGAATGCGTTTAAGGCACCTGGTCTAGACGGCTTCCCTGCAATTTTCTTCCAAAAATAATGGAATCTTGTGAAGGATCAGGTTTATAATGTTGTTATTGATATGTGGTCAAATCCGGATCGGGTGGAGGAGTTTAATAATACCCTTCTCGTTTTGATTCCGAAAGTTAAGAGGCCAGACTGCATCTCTTAGTTCAGCCCTATTTCCCTTTGCCCAGTTTTATATAAGATTTTATCATGGGTGATTGTTCATCGGTTGAAACCAGTTATGGATAAATTGATCTCTCCATCTCAGGTTAGCTTTGTTCCGGGAAGACAAATTCAAGATAACATTGTGATTGTCCAGGAGCTTATTCACTCAATGCATAAAATGAAAAGTAGGAAAGCTTTTATGGCAGTGAAGATAGACCTAGTCAAAGCTTATGATCGTGTTTCCTGGAATTTTTTACGTAGAACTTTGGAGGAGATTCAGTTTCCCATGTTGTTCATTAACCTTATCATGCAGTGTGCTCAAACCTCTAAGATCAATGTCCTGTGGAATGGTGGTAAAACTGAGGATTTTAGGCCTTCACGTGGTATTCGGCAGGGTGATCCTCTATCACCATATCTTTTCGTTATTGCACTGGAAAAGTTAACTCATATTATTAATACTGCCGTGCTGGGTGGTTTGTGGAATCCGATTCGGGTTAGTAGTGGGGGTCCTCGTCTTTCCCATATTGCTTTTGCCGATGATTTAATGCTTTTTATGGAGGCTACGGAAGAACAAATTGATGTGTTATTGCATTGCCTGCATTTATTTGAGGAAGTATCTAGGCAGCGTCTTAGTGTTGATAAAACAAGTGTTTACTTTTCCAGGAATGCTAGTGAAGATGTAATATCTAGAATCACGCAAAAAAGTGGTTTCAAGCGCGTGAGGAACATGAGTAGATACTTAGGATCCATGATGCAGCATGGGAGAGCGTCTAAGGAGTTGTATGTAGGGATCATAGAGAAGGTAAGAGATAAGATGAATGCTTGGAATCAACAATCTCTTTCGCAGGCAGGCCACATCACATTGTCTCAGTCGGTTGTGGCTACCATGCCTTATTTCCAAATGCAAAGTTGTAAGATTCCATTGTCTGTTTGTAATGAGATTGAGAAGCTGTAGAGAAGTTTTATTTGGGGTGATAAGGAAGGAAGGAGAGCTAATCATCTTATTAATTGGAGTACCATTATGAGTCCTAAGGAGGTTGGGGGGTCTCAGCTTGAAATGACTGGAATTTATGAATGATGCCATGCTTGCTAAGAGAGTTTGAAGCTTCTCAAATAAACCAGATCATCTTTGGGTTCAGGTTCTGAAATCTAAATATGAATCAAGGAGTTCGAGAGCTGCGGGTTTTGTGGCTTGTAATGGTGACTCTTCCTTGTGGAGGAATATGTGCCGTATTTGGAGGATGATGGAGGGGAGGCTTAGATGGGAAGTTGGTGATGGTAGGACTGTTTCCTTTTGGCATGATAATTGGCTCACTTTGGCGCAGCCTCTTCGTGGGCTAGTCACATCTCCGAATCTGGATGTTAATGATGTCATGTGTGTTGCTGATATGGTTAACTCTAATGGAGTTTGGAATTATGATTCTTTAGGCCTTTGGTTCCAGAGAGATGTCATTGATATTTTTCGCGGGACATTAACTCCAGGTGTAAATGATGGTCCTGACAGCAAGTATTGGGATCTTGATGGTGAGAACACCATAACAGTAAGGGCGATCTATAAGGCTCTTGTTGGTCAAGAGTTAATCTCGGGTTTGGCTGATGGTAGATGGCAGTGGGTGTGGGATTTGAATGGTCCTCAAAGAATCAAGTTGTTTATGTGGAAGGTTTGCCATAAAAAGCTCCTCACTCGAAGCAGGACTGCTCTTTGGGGGTCTGGCACTGAATCGTGTCCTATTTGTAGGGAGGAGAGTGAAACCTTGTTACATGCGATTCGGGACTGTCATGAGGCTAAGTCCGTTTGGTCTCATTTTGTGCCTTCGGACAAGTTTGCAAACTTCTTCTTTGGTGATGTTGATCATTGGTTATCAGTTAATATGGACATGGATAAGCATGGGATTACGAATGGTTGGAGGAATTTGTTTTTTGTTATTTGTTGGAAAAATTGGAAGTGGCGTAATGATTGGGTGCATGGCTCGGCTTTTCCTTGCTTAAATGTGAGGAAATGGATTATTTGCAGCTCTGTGAGGGACATTAACAATGCGTTAGCTAGTGCTCAGGAGAGGCTTCCAGTAAAGTTTTCAATGAAGATGGACATTACTTGGAAATATCCAACAGATGGGTCAGTAAAAATTAACATAGATGGTGCAGCTAGAGGTAATCCTGGCCTAGCTGCTTGTGGGGGTTTGATTCGTAATTCTCAAGGGAGATGGCTGGGGGTTTTGCTTATAAATTGGGGGTTTTCTCTTCTTTTAAGGCTGAGCTCTGGGGTGTTCTTCGTGGTTTGGAGCTAGCGTGGAACGAAGGATTTCGTAATATAATCATTGAGAGTGATTCATCTAGTGTGATCACTGTGCTCACCAAGCCTGGTGTAGTAGTCCGTGAGTGTCATCTGATTGCTCGTATACGGACATGGATCAATAGGAGTTGGTCAGTTACTTTGATGCATACTTATAGAGAAGGAAACGTCTGTGCTGATTGGTTGGCGAATTTTATTCTGGATTCAGATGATTCCATTACTTAAAAGTTTTGGAGGGATCCTCCTCCTGGCATTCTTCATCTTCTCCGTGGTGACTTTACTGGTGTCAGTAGGTCTAGGGAAGTGAGGTGTAGGATTTAGTTTTTTGTTTTGGTTGTCTTTGTTGTTCTTTTGGCTTAGGCCTTCTCTTTACCAAAAAAAAATAAAAATTATTTATTATTATTTTTTAAATGTGATTGCAATAAATGAAAGTCTATCTCAAAGATTAGTGTAGTTGCTTTGATTCTGTTCATATGCATTTGTTGCAATGTAAGCAAAAAATATGACTTATACATGCTTATTTGATTAAGTTGCATTCAAATCCCATTCAAACAACATTTTTTTTGGTCCTTAAAAAAATTTAATCCATTCTTTTTTTTTTGCTGATACTATGACTTTTGGATGTTAACATATTAGTGTTACTTATTTAATGAGTTTTTTTCCTTCTGTATCGTAGGCACAAGGAACGAAAATCACACAAGAAATGACATATTTAGTAAGTGTTGAACTCATCCCTCCAATGATTGCTATGAAATGACACTGAATGAATAGCGTTTTCATATTATAGGTAAAAGCTGATATTTTAAATCCATATTTGCTTGGTGTTATTGTTACCTTGATTTTGTTGATGAATGTTATAGTTAGCAATGATTTGTACGCATTTTTCTTTTTATATCCCTTGTTCATGTTAACATGGTGTATTATAACGTATTATGATGTATTACGATGTAGTTGTATGCAAAATTATTTATCCCTCTGAATAGCAGATTTTTGTTTGTTGTTGATATTTGCAAATCTCTATGTCAATGCTGTAATTTTTTCACCTGAAATATAGAACAAAATAATAACACAATTTTTTGTAAATATAAGGTTTGCAGTGCGATTAACCAATCACGACGGACGACAAAAATTTTAATCTTTTTTCCCGGTGCATCGCACGGGTAATATACTAGTTTATAAAAAAGAAAAGAAAAGAAGGAATAAACTCACCCCTTACCCTAGCCCGAGACCATGAGAAATATTTACAATATTAACATTAAGGAAAATTATTTCTTCAGTCACTGGAGATAAAGTTATCTACTGTGAGTTTAAAACGACATCATTTTGTGGTTATAAGATTAAAAAATTATAATGATAAAAACTAATATAATCATATAATATATTAGAATTATGAAAATACATTAATTTCTGCCTCAAAACGACGTTGTTTTGGGCTCACCGAAAATAATTTATCTCCATTGTTTTGAGAAATCTTTTACCCTAACATTAATGTAGATTGAAAACCAAGCCCAAAAAAATATGCATGGTGTGAAATTTTTATTCTAGAAATTAAGAAACAACTATTATTTTTAGGAAACGGTTAAGATGTGGTTGTAACATTGTGCGTAACATTATCTGTGTGTCATAATATCCTATCCTTTGTTTATATAAAGAGATTATATTTGGTCATGTTACATGATACAAGTTACATCATGTTGTAGAGATAAAATTGGTGGGGTCCACTGTTTAAATAAAAAATAAAAAACAAATTAAACAGTGAACCCCGTCAACTTTATCTCTAACATGACGTAACTTGTGTCATGTAACATGATGATTACATTTCACTCGTATAAAACATCCTTTATGAAGCAACTTTTTTATTTTTTTCTTAAAATGAAAAAATTGTTTTCTAAATCAATAATGAAACAGGCCCTCTGTTTGTATTTTATGAAAGCGATGGACATCATCCTGTGAGTGGATCCCGGCACTATTATCTCTCTCCAAAACATTAGTTAAGTGGAGAATGGATCTCATTTAACATGACAACTCAGGATTTGTTTCCTCGTACTAACATAAATCTGATTCTCTCTTACTCTCAGTATTGTTGCAAAAGGAAAAACACAAAATAAAAATATAATTTTTTTGTTGTTGTTGCTGATTTGGTGTTGAGGATCCAAAAAGAGAAGAAAAAGGGGAAGAGAGAGTGATAGAAAAGATGGTTAGTGCAATAAAGGCAGCCATTGGAGATGCAGTGTTGACTTTCGCATGGGTCTTCTTCTCTTCCATGTTGGGATTGATCACTAGCGCCATAACCAAAGCACTTGATCTTCAATATGTGTCTTACAATGGTTTTGATTATCCTTCTGTTATGATTACCACTTCCCTCATTTTCGTCTTGGTCTTCATCTTCACCATCATTGGCAATGCATTGGGTGGTGCTAGCTTCAACCCCACCGGCAATGCTTCCTTCTATGCAGCTGGTCTTGGCTCAGATACCCTTTTCTCTATGGCTCTCCGTTTCCCTGCTCAGGTTGTTATCTTTTTCTTTTATGCCAAAAGGGTCTTCTTCTTTTTTTTTTGGGTGTTGCTTTCTGATGCTGTAAAAGTGAATTTTTTGCTTTTTCTCTCTTATCTTACTGTTAATTTTGGGGTTATGGGATCCATGCATCACCCCATTTCTTTTTTCTTTTGATTTGTTATTTATGTTGGTTTTATTTCCCTGCAAGAATATTTTGTTGGAGAAATTTCTTTAGATTGTCACTAACCAACCAACTTTTTTTCAAAGTGCTGAAATTCAATTTTTTATTAGAAGAATGGGAACAAGTTCCGTACCACCTTATCGTAGAGACTTTTGTAAATTTTCATGAACCAACCAACTTTTTTTTAGTAGTGCTAAAATTTAATTTTTCATTAGAAGAATGGAAGTAAAAAAGAGGTGAGCCTGTTAGTAAAGTTGTTTCTTTATAATATAAAGTAGTGCTAAAATTTAATTTTTCATTAGAAGAATGGAAGTAAAAAAGAGGTGAGCCTGTTAGTAAAGTTGTTTCTTTATAATATAAGGAAAAATATTTTCTCGTGTTATATCTCTCCTACTAGTGATATTTTGATTTTCGTGTTACATTTTCTTTGGCTTTTTGATGTTTTTAGATGTAGGCCCCACACAAGATGTGTCTATAGCATGAGATACCTATCTCTTACTGGGTGAGAAAATCAAAACCCATAATTTAATGGTCTCGTGTTAAAACATTCTTTTTGCAAATATGTAAGGATTGTCTTCCCTCCATCCTTGCTAATTGGGATTTAACTTGGAGTGTTTTTTTTTTTGTTTTTTTTTATTAGAAGATTGGAATTGAACTTTAAGACCACTTGCACTATAGTATAGAGGCTTTTATTTATTATCATAAATTAACCAATTTTTTCAAAGCATTGAAATCCCAATTTTTATTAGAAGAATGAGATGGAACTCTAGCCCAAGATATCACAGAGGCTTTTGTTACCATGTTATAAATTAACTCTTCCAAAAACTGAAGTTATTGAAAAATTACACCTCAAAGGAAGTCTATTAATGAGTATCAGTGATGGTGTTACACAGGCATTAGGTGCAGTGGGTGGTGCTCTGGCAATTATGGAGGTTATGCCACCAAAATACAGGCACATGATTGGAGGGCCTTCTTTAAAGGTTGACTTGCATACTGGAGCTGTTGCAGAAGGGGTTCTAACATTTGTAATCAGTTTTGTTGTTCTCTTCATCATGCTCAGGGGTCCTCGGAGTGAGTTTGTGAAGACTTGGTTGATGGCCATGTCAACCGTAGCTTTGATCATTGCCGGTTCTGCTTACACGGGACCATCCATGAATCCTGCCTTTGTGAGTGACTACTTCGTTCCCTTAGCCATTTGTTATCCTAAATTCTCTTCCTTTCTTTTATTCCTTTTTGAGTAGATTCTGATATGCACCTAAAGTTTGAAACTTTTTGTTGTCAATCTTTTTGAGCAACTTCGGGAATTCTGGAATTTAACATTTACACCTTGCCTTTTAATCTGAGAATATTATATTCATTCCTTATTTTGTTCAACTATTGGATTATATTTTTCATCTAAACAGTAGTATTCCTTTTCCCAGTCCCAATCTTATTGTGCTATTAACTGCTATTATATGGTGTGTGGTGTTCATTCCTGTGAGAAGATTGTGTTTATAGTTCCTAGTTCCTAGTTCCAGTTCCTACCCTTTTGGTCTCTACATTAAAATCACTACCCGCCGAAAAAGTTGCCACTGAGACCATACATTTTTGTCTGACTCTCTTGTGTGACAATGCATTACTGTATTTCTCAACTTTTTTGTACTGTATTTTTCATGTTGATTTTGTTTTACATTTAAGCACCTCTCATACTTTGCTGAAGCTGGTTTTTATCTTGAACCATGGAACACCACCCCTTTATCTTTTTGTTTACGGTTTGTTACAAAAATAAATCGAGTACCTATAATTGGAAATTGATACAAACCAAGGGCTGGGGTTATAACGCATCTACTTCTAATATGAAGATATGAAGTTGCTATTGACATTGTCTTTTGTGTTGCTTTATTCATATAAAAATTAATCCAACCTAACCTGAGGTGTCGTCTATTTGATTCCTCCTCTGCTGTAATTTTGTTTTCATCTAAATGCTGTGTATATCAAGCTGTATCTTGTTTCTCCTAATAAAAGCATCATTGTAGTTGTTTCAAATGCAAAATTATAATATATTTCTGAATATTATGTGCGAGGGAAAGGGAATAATGTTTGGGAAATATTCAGGGTCAGTTTCCCATTAAATTTGGTATTGGAATGGATGTCGTAGAGCATTCATAGTAAATAAGTGTCTGAAGCCTTTACGTCCTCTTTGTGAAAGCTGCATCTGAGCATTTTTACAGAAGACTTACTAAATTATAGTTTGTACTACATCAAATATCATTCTTTGCCAGTCTTCCTTAATCATCCTTCCCTTTGCCTATCAGTTTAAAAGATGGAGATTCAGAAAGTAACTGAGTTAAGTACTGTATTAAGGTGAGATATCTATTAGGATTTATAAAGAACCATTTTAACCCAAAAGTTTAAGCTGTTAGATGAGGCTACATTACTGGTTTTTATATTATATTTCTCTAATAGGATGATGAGGGCAAGGATGAAAATTTCCAGATCTTATTCAAGAGGAAAGTTCATATCATATTATCATGTACTTTTTGTGGGTTTAGATGTTCTTTCTTCCTTCCTTGGTGTTAGAGAATAATATAAACCATTAAAAAGACCCTCAACAAACTCATAGTGCCAGACAAGTTCCCAGTTCCGGTTATTGAAGAACTTTTGGATGAGTTAGGTGGTTCCAGTGTTTTCTCCAAACTCGATCTTAAGTCAGGTTATCACCAAATCCGAATGAGGGAGGAGGACATACCCAAGACGGCTTTCCGGACACATGAGGGTCATTACGATATGTGCGTGTGTTATGCGAAAGTACTATTTCTCTTTGGCTGTATTTCTCCCTACTTTCTGCAAGAGGCTATCTCTGTCTTCAAGCTATTATCTCCCTCCTCTCTCTAATCGATTCTTTCTTTCTGTTTTCCTCTTTCAATCACTAAATTTGTTAGCAAGTCGTTGTCTTCTTTGTGGATCTGGTCTTCGATGATCGCTACCCTACCTCCGATGGCAGACATCTTTTCTCCCAAATCATTAGAACGGCAGAATCGACGATTCCACCGATTTTATGCCTTTGCACGTCGTTCGTAACCGATTCAAGTGAAAAACGATCCCATATGCGATTCAGATCGGTAAAAGGAAAAATATCGTAGTATCGAACGATCTAACGATTTTTCTCGCGATTTTAATAACATTGATTACGAGTACTTGGTGATGCCCTTTGGGCTCACCAATGCTCCTTCAACCTTCCATTCACTGATGAATGAGATATTAAGACCTCATTTACGCAAGTTTGTGTTGGTATTCTTCGACGATATTTTAATCTACAGTCACAATCTGGTTGAGCATCTACGGCATCTCAGGTGTGTTCTGAGTATTTTGCGGCAGCATAGTCTTGTGGCAAATAAAAAGAAGTGTTGCTTCGGGCAGATGCAAATTGAATACCTCGGCCATTTAATCTCAAAGGAGGGAGTGAAGGCCGATCCTTCCAAGATTGCAGCCATGTCTCAATGGCCTAGTCCTACAACCTTAAAGGGGCTGAGGGGATTTTTGGGCTTAACGGGCTACTACCGGAAGTTTGTTCAAGGGTATGGCCAGATTGCAAAGCCCTTAATGATCTATTAAGGAAGGATGCCTTCCTTTGGAGTAAGGAAGCTCAATCGGCATTCGAGCTGTTAAAAGGTGCCATGTGTTCCGTTCTAGTCCTGGCGATGCCAGACTTTGATAAAACATTTATTGTAGTCACAGATGCATCAAGAAAGGGAATGGGAGCAGTGCTTACTCAGGGGGATCGTCCACTCAGCTATATCAGTCAGGCTTTCTCCTCACGAGCATTGGAAAAGTCGGTTTACGAAAAAGAATTAATGGCAATTGTGTTTGCCGTTCAAAAGTGGAGGCCATACTTATTGGGTCACCATTTCATCATCAAAAACGATCTGAAAAGCTTGAAGTTCTTGACTGACCAGCGACTGTTAGGAAAGGAGCAGCAGAAATGGGTATCCAAACTTCTATGCTACGATTTTGAAATTCATTACCAACCGGGCAAGGAGAATAAAGTTGCTGATGCGTTGTCCCGTAATCTGCAGTGCTTCTCCCTCTCGTGTGTGGATGCTAGCAAGTATGATGTGTTGGAGCAGGAATTACAAGAGGACATCAGAATGAGAGGAATTATTCAAGACTTAGTGGTCAACCCTCAATCGCACGCTGGATTCAGCCTCAATGGCGGCCGCTTATATCACCAAGACAGATTGGTGTTAGCGAAAAATTCCAATTTTATTCCAATGGTACTGCACGAATTTCATGATTCGTATGTTGGAGGACATTCTGGGTTCCTGAGGACTTTGAAAAGAATCAACAGCTTGGTGTATTGGGAAGGCATGAACAAGAAGATTAAGGAGTATGTGGCTGCTTGTTCTGTGTGTCAACAAAATAAGGTGTCAACGTTGTCTCCTGCAGGGCTGCTCCAACCCCTGCCCATTCCTACCAGTGCTTGGACTGATTTGTCTATGGATTTTATCGGAGGACTACCAAAGGCTCAAGGTTTTGACACAATTTTCGTGGTAGTAGACCGCCTTTCTAAGTATGCACATTTTATTCCTCTTAAGCATCCTTATACAGCCAAGGTAGTTGCTCTTTTATTCATCAAAGAAGTAGTCAAATTACATGGATTCCCAACATCCATTGTCAGTGACAGAGACAGAGTTTTTCTTTGCTCTTTTTTGTCAGAATTGTTCCGTTGTAGTGGCACCAAATTGAAATATAGCACATCTTATCACCCATAGTCCAATGGCCAGACGGAGGTAGTAAACCGTTGCTTGGAAGATTATTTAAGGTGTTTTTGTTCGCCTAAACCCAACACATGGCCATCTTGGTTGCATTGGGCAGAATTTTGGTACAACACTACCTTCAAGACCGCCACTGGCACCAGCCCATTCAAGGCAGTGTATGGCTGCGAGCCCCCTACCCTTTTTCAGTCCAGCTTTGCTATATCTCCAATAGATGAAGTATCCACAATGTTACAGGACCGAGACTTAATTTTACAGGAGCTGCAGCAACATCTTTTGATTGCTCAGAGTAGGATGAAGGCTCAATCAGATCAGCATAGGAGGAATGTGGAATTTCAGGTAGGTGACATGGTCTTTCTCAAGCTTCAACCGTATCGTTTACGCTCCCTGGCAAAAAAATTGAATGAGAAGCTTAGTCCGAGATTTTATGGCCCCTACGAAGTGGTGGAGCGAATTGGGGCTGTAGCATATCGGTTATTGTTACCAGTGGAATGTAAAGTCCATAATGTCTTTCATATTTCACTTCTAAAAAAAGCTATCTCACTCACGGATGCAGTACAGCCTCTTCCCCCTATGCTGAATGGCGAATGGGAGCTCAGTGTTCAACCGGAAACTGTCCTGCAATGGCGACGAAATTCCATGGGTCGTGTGGAGGTTTTGATTAAGTGGTTAAAGCTCCCTTCCTTTGAAAATTCGTGGGAAGATTCAGCTCAATTTGATTTCCAATTTCCTGAATTTCACCTTGGGGACAAGGTGAAGGTTTTGGGGGGGAGTATTGATAGGACTCTTCTTAAGGTGTATAGTAGAAAGTGTCACAGAGGATCAAATCCCAATGCTGACTCACAGGAAAGAGGGAATATCATAGCTGTTGGTGCTGAGGCTGATGAAAATTCTGTTAGGGAGAGAGAAGTTGGGGTGGTGCATGGTGCTGAGGTGTGAAAGGGCCTTACGGGTGGTTATATAAATGGGTAAAATAAAGGATGGAGGAGGCTGGAATTTGGGAGTTCTTGGGTGAGATCAGTGCCTCTTAATAGCACTGAACCAGCTTGGGAAATTATTGTAATTGGCATTCTGCTTATTTTTTTCTGCAATTATCTTTTTGTCATAAACAACACCTAGTTATTGTATTGTTGCTTTTGATTAATATACAGAAAATCCAGTTCTTCTGGGCCAATATCTTGTGTTGTTGCGTATTACTCTGATTATTCTGACAATTCTATCAGATTAATTATGAGATTCATGTTACCTGTTATGTTATCCATTTCATTGATATTAGCTGCTGATATGAAGCAATCAAATTTGAAGAAAAACATCACTTTAATTCCCCTTTTCAGTTTGCTACTTGCTGCATAGTATATTGCCATGGAAGGTGGAGTTAAATACTTTTCTATAGTGAAAACGTGGAATGATATCATGAGGTTTGTGTCTTTCTCTAAGAGATGTATATAAACTAGGATAGGTAATTCATGATATCTGTTAAAGGATAGAACACCATCTCTCACTACATACATAACCATATCATTTCATCGCCTTCTTCCCTGGACAGAGAGGAAAATGGTAGCTTTGATCTCATTTGAAGTTACTATCAAAGTTTAGTGACATTAGTTCCATTTTTCATTTTATTTTCTTGCATAATTGCAATATTCGTCTTGTCTGACATTAAAGCGCAAATACCTTTGGTTCTAATGGGAGTTCCTCCTCCATTATAGTTTGGCTCTGATTGCACTTTCTCATCATTTACAGTTTGGTTCTAATGCCAATTTTTTATCCACTTCCTACTCTTTCATGGACATATATGGATGGTGCTGTGGGAAATCTACCAGCCATTTCACGCTTAAAATGTTTTAATTAATCTACTGTCTATGATAGCAATATCAAGTACAAAGTATCAACCCTCTTTTCCTTTTCTTTCCCTACCGGGATACAAAGGGATATCATGAATACATGCTCAGATCTTGTTTTGATTTGGTTGATATGTTGCACAGAAAACATCTTGCTAACAACTTCAAAACATCTTGTCATTTGAACGTAATTGGTAGGGTTGATCACTTTTCCTTAGATAAGAAGAATTAAAAATTTGGAACAGCTAAACTGCCATAGTTTACTATGATGCGGCATCATTGATGCCTTTGTGTTATATAAGTGGTCAATCCACTTATGTTCTAAGCTGTTTATAGGATTACATTTCATGGTAAGCTGCTTTATTAAAGTAGTACTCTTAGATTATAATATGAACCATTAAAAAGGTCCTCATCTAATACTTAAGGTTTTGAGTTGAAGTGGTTCTTTACATGGTATCAGAGCTTCAAGTCACCACAAGGTCACGAGTTCGATCCTCACTGCCTCCCACTTTCAAGTGGAATTAAAATAAGCACAAGGTAAAACCAAAAAAATTGGGCCTGTGCAATATCCACACTTCAAGCCCAAAGAGCTCTTGTGTGACAGAGTGTGTTAAAGAATAATATAAACCATTAAAAATGCCCTCATCTAATACCTTAAGGTTTTGGGTCGAAGTGATTTTTTGTAAGTACTTATTATTTTGTATTTATTAAATTAGTACTATGTTAAAACAGACATTACTGCTGTTACTTTTTCCTAGACAAGTTGGTGTTGGTTGTATTTGTGTTGACTGAATACTAACACTAAAAAATTTGTACAAGTCATGGGGGCAGCTGCAAATGGTTCAGTTATTTTTGTTTTGAAAGGAAAAAGAAAGTGGATAATTTCAGATGCATGTGCTTTCCATTCTTCCATCCTTTGATGTTGTGTCTGCTAGAAATACAAGTTATGCAAAAGCAAATTTATTGGATTGAAGGTAAGAATCCTAAGGTTGACTCTAAATACTCATTAAAGTATCAGCCATTAAGTGATACCCACTACATTGTAGCATAGTTGTCTGAAGTTCCTGTAGTTTATATCATTCTTATGTGAAGAATACTTGATCCTTATGACTCTTTTTTTTTTGGGGAAAGTTACATCTGATATTAATGTCAGCTCCTTTGGGGTGTGAGACATAGATTGATAAGGAATAACTCCATGATTGATATTTTTTTCAGGCTTTTGGTTGGGCATACTTAGACAACTGGCACAACACATGGGACCAATTCTATGTTTACTGGATTGCCCCCTTCATTGGAGCAATACTGGCTGCTTGGTTTTTCCGTATTGTCTTTCCACCAAGAGTAGTAAAACAGAAGAAAGCCTGAAGAGGCATAGTAGATATGGTTCTTATGCAGCTGTTAAGCACCTTGCTAGTGCATTAATAACCCTTTTTCTGTTTTCTTCTTCTTTCTTTCTTTCTTTATCATCTCTTGTTCATTCCCATGTATTTTTCTGCTGTTTGGGACTCTAGCTTTCACTGATGATAGAACGAATATTTTTTATGAATAATATAAAGTTCAAACATGTTTCACATAATCTATACATTATTTTATTTTTTTTCTATTTAGCATATGTATTTCATGGGGAAAAGTAACATTCCTATTAATATTTTTATTTGTTTACATTTATTTTCATGGTTCAACATATCATTGTTTTACGTCATTGACTCGTTGGCGGACAGCTAGTACTACATCCTCCCAAATTGGGAAATTTTTAATATGCTCCAGAACCACCATGGTCCTTCTACTAAAAAATTGACACCTGGATAAAAAATTTAATTTCTCTCATCTTTCTCCTTAATTTTTTCTCTCTTTCTTTCACCTTCGCCCCACCAAATCTTTTTTGCACTCGGACCACAGAAATATCGCTCCCCAAATTGCTCTTCCCCGAAGAAGATAGTTGTCTCTGAAGGCACAACTATAGAGGAAGATAGGAAGATGAACTGTTATGTGGGTCCGAAGTCAGTAGACATACAGAAAGCAAAACTTATGTGTCTCTCGACTTGCTGCCTCTCGGTAGGAAGATGAACTGTTAGAGTAACTGTTAGAGACTAGTATAAATCATTAAAAAGATCCTTACCTAACACCTTAAGGTTTTGGGTGAGGTTATATTAATGGTTTTATATATCTCAACAGTAACAATCATAGTATGGATTATGTTGAGGATGTAAATGCACCAAGGTTTGTTGGGTCTTTGGATGCCATTCTAATGTCAATTAGGTACACAATTGAAGAAAGGAATTAGTTGTAAAAACAAAGGAGGTGTTGCTCAAATTTCAAGAATTTGGTGTGATTTTTACCCTAACTTTGGAGATCGATATCTCCCTCATTCCTTGGTCAAATGAGGTGTGTGAGCTATCAGTTGGTAACTGAGCTCTCAAGGATTTGTTTGGGGTCAGGGTTTCAAATCTTGACTCAAGCAAATTCTTGGAAAATCTTTGAGGGACAGAGGACGTGCCTCTATCCTCGAATGAGAGATTAGCCTCATCCTTCCTCAGGTAGTGAAGCTCAATGCGCCCGTTATCCAATGAGGGGTAGCCTTCGGGCCGTACTCCAAAGACAAGGTGACCGAAGGAGGTTGAATGATGATACGTTCATGTTATACCAAAATCAATAATAATAATAAAAATCTTACTATATTATCTGGGTGTGGATCCTCTCCCTAGATGGTCTTGTATGATTTATTTCGTTAGTGGAAAGTTTTATTTCAATTTCATTGATAGGGGTTGTTGAATTGTTGGTATAGTTTTGCGTCTAAATAAAAATATTGTATCTTGATGTTAAATATTCATGTGTTTGTGTTAATTTTATTAAAAATAAATGATTATTGATTTTTAGTAGCATTATTCAAAGTTAGTTTGTTATCAACATAATTTGAAATTTTATTTTATATTTAAGTCGTACGTGGTGTTAGCCCTAATTACTTACAAAATTAAGTATTAAATGTTTTTTTTACTCTTACGGGCCCTCTTTAGGTATTTTTTGTAAAATACTTTTTCAATTAAAAACATGTTTAAAAAATTATGTCATGGGAAAAATTATATTTACCGCCAATCAAAATTTTTAAAATCGTAAAACATGATGGAAAGAGAAAGATGGGAGAGGGAATGAAGGAAGCGATCGAAGATAAAGAAAGAAAATTTATATCAAAAGGTAACGGTTGATTTGATTTCACCCATACTTAAAAAGAAGGCAGTAAGAGATGATAAATTTACTTAAAATAAGTATAACTTTTTTCTTAGGGGCGTTTGTTTGAGGAAATTTTTTTGGAATAGTAGGAAAATGTAATAGATAGAGAAATGATTGAAAAGATAGATAAAGTGAGATAGGTAGAAAAATGTAAAAAAAAGTTGTTTGGTGGGAAAAAACTTTACTGGAAAAATTAGGTAACTTTATGAAATCAACAGTGCATTAAAAGTCAGATAACCGGTTTTCCGATAAATCCCACCTTCAAATTGAGTTTCTAAACAGTGCGGATATCTGTGTTTCTCATAAATCCAGACACCAGATGAGTTTTTGGTGAAAATACGTTGAAACAAACATGGTGTTTCTAAAAGTCATACTTGAGAAACATAGATATCCGCTGAAAAGCTCCCAACCAAACACCACCTTATGTTATTTTGATAAGTTTTTTTTTTTTAATAAAAAACAACTTTAGTGCTTTTTTTTATATATACTAGGAAGAGTACCTTCATGAAAAAAAAAATACAAAAAGTATGTCATTACGACACAGTTTTGAAAAATTATGTACTTGTTTTTAAAGGGAGAGTTATATTAAGAAACTTTTATTTACAAACTCTTACAAATTACACTACGTATTTTCGGGAGTAAATAGTGTAATTTACAAAAAATTGTGAACGGATCCTTTCCCCTTTTTTAATATATTTTATTTTCGTTTTCTTATCTAATATTCCTTCCGTTTTAAAATATTAGTCGTTTATGATTTCTGTACAAATATTAAGAAAACCATCAACCAAAGAGTTTAAAGAAATATAATTATATTTGTTGAAAGTATCCGTAGCTCCATCAAAGTTCTTTCTCGTTCCACTTGGGGAAGATATGTAGATAAAATAAAAATAATAATGAGTTATGATTTTCTATAATAGTAGATAAAATAAAAAAACATAACAACAGGTGAGGTCTGCCTTTGAGTATGTTAAGTGGACTTAATAGTAATTCTTATAAAATAATAATATCTTACATTATTAACGATGGATAAAATTAAATTTATATAAAGAAATTTGTTATATATCTTGTGTATTGTAGACCAACCATTCTTACAAATATGATTTAATTAAGAAAAGCATTTTTGAAATACATGTAGCCGTTGGGACTTTAAATAGAAAGTAACGGCTACTTTCTCATAAAACTATCCGTTACCCATGTGGTTCAAACTCATAAAACACCTTCACTTCCCTTTGAATTTTCAGATTTCCACCTAAGCTCCTTCTTCTTCTTCTTATTCTTCACAGATTTCGTTTCTAAATTTGTCTTCGTTTCTCTTCACTTCTTCCACCACACCTTACGCGGCTAAAAGGTATTGTTTGTTCCCTTAAGAGCATTTTGGTAAAGATCTAAAGTTCTTATTTTTATCACTGAAAATTGATTTCGGTGTTTGTGCAGGGAAATAAAAACCAATACCCAGTTCCAAAATGAACGATCTTATGACCAAGTCATTCACTAGCTACGTTGATTTGAAGAAAGCAGCTATGAAAGATGTGGATTTGGAAGCTGGTCTTCCTCCATCCGATGTGGAACTAACATCTTCCACAACCCACATGAACACTGACATGGGTCTCTTCTTAGAAGAAGCAGAGAAGGTGAAAACAGAAATGGGGTGTCTCCGTGACATACTAGGAAGGCTTCAACAAGCAAACGAAGAGAGCAAGACACTTCACAAGCCCGAAGCACTGAAATCCTTGAGGAACAGAATCAATGCTGACATTGTAACAGTGTTGAAGAAAGCAAGGGTTATGAGGACCCAATTGGAAGAAATGGATCGTGCTAATGATGCTAATAGGAGACTCTCAGGGCTCAAGGATGGAACCCCAGCAATTTATAGAACCAGAATTTCTGTTACCAATGGGTTGAGGAAGAAGCTGAAGGAGCTTATGATGGAGTTTCAGGGTTTAAGGCAAAAGATGATGACTGAGTATAAAGACACTGTGGGGAGAAGGTACTTTACTGTGACTGGGGAATACCCTGATGAAGAGGTTATTGAGAAGATTATATCTAATGGGGATGAAGAGTTTTTGGGGAAAGCTATACAAGAACATGGAAGAGGGAAGGTTCTAGAAACTGTGGTGGAGATTCAGGATAGGTATGATGCTGCTAAAGAGGTTGAGAAGAGTTTGTTGGAGCTTCACCAGGTTTTTTTGGACATGGCTGTTATGGTTGAGGCTCAGGGTGAGAAAATGGATGATATTGAACATCATGTTCTTCATGCTTCTCATTATGTTAAGGATGGTACAAAGAATCTTCAGACTGCAAAGAAGTACCAGAAGAGCAACAGGAAGTGGATGTGTATTGGGATTATACTTTTGCTTATTCTGATTCTTGTTATTGTCATCCCCATTGCCACCAGTCTCAGCAGTTCTTGAATTTTAGATATTGGTTTTGAGGATTCAAATGTTTTTTTCTTATTTTTTGTGTTTGCTTCTTTGCTGAGTTGTACGACTCATCGTCGTTTAAATTTGGTCAGAATGTTGTAGTTGAGTTTTACCTTAACCATGTGATGATCTATGTTTGCAAATTTGAAATATAATTGACTCATGTTTTTGGGCTATAGAATTCGAAATATGAAAAATCATGACTTTTTCTTATGTTGGCTATACGACATGTGATGATCTATGTTTGCAAATTTGAAATATAATTGACTCATGTTTTTGGGCTATAGAATTCGAAATATGAAAAATCATGACTTTTTCTTATGTTGGCTTATACGATATTTGATTCAAAAGTTCCATAGGTGAGGTAGGCTTGTGAGGTCTGCCTTTGAAGGAGTGTTCAATAAGAGATTATTCATGACCCAAAATTGTCTACACTTGAATCAAACTTGAAAATTTGTATCACAAATGGAATCAATAAACATTGTTTTAGGCTTGATCTTATGTTTGAATCAATAAATGGAATCAATAAATTCGAAATATAATTGACTCATGTTTTTGTGCTATAGAATTCGAAATATGAAAATTCATGACTTTTTCTTATGTTGGCTTATACGACATTTGATTCAAAAATTCCATAGGTGAGGTAGGCTTGTGTCTGCCTTTGAGGAGTGCCCAATATTAGATTATTCATGAATCATGACCCAAAATTGTCTACACTAGAATCAAACTTGAAAGTTTGTATAACAAATGGAATCAATAAACATGGTTTTAGGCTTGATCATCAATAAACATGGAATCAATAAACATGAAAAGGCTTGATCTTCATAAAAAATAAAAAATAAAAAATAAACATGGTTTTAGGATTGTTCTTCATAAACAAAAAATAAAAAAAATTCAGCCCTTGCTGACCGACCCCTTTATTAAACTTGTATCACAAATGGAATCCTTAAATATGGTTTTAGGTATGGGGGTTAACGAGTCGAGTCAAGCTTTGGTCTTAAAAGGCTAAGCCTGTGTTTAAATGTATCGGTCTTACCAAACCTGTTACCTGTTATGAATATAATTATCGGCCTGTGGCCTGTCTTATTTACAAAAAATAAAAGCCTGATTTAGTCTGTTAGAAAAAATAAGACAACAAAAATTTATCCAAACAGAATATACAATCAACAACAATGGTAATTCCATAAATATTCATAAATTCAATTTATATCCAAACAACATAATATAGAACAAAATCATTCAAAAAGTCTGTTTAACTAATAAAATAGGGATGAAATAGATTGAGAGGAGAGAGGACTATTATAAATAGTATAAAAAATATAAATAAAAATAAAAATTAATATACTAAGCCAGCCTGAGAGGCTCTAAGGCCGAGCTTTTGAATTGGAGCCTGAAGCCTTTTTACTAAACGAGCTTTTATACAAGTCCAAGCCTGGTTCCAACAACCAATATTAGACATGTAATCTCAGACCTTCACGAGCCGAGCTAAAAGCCCCTGGTTCGTTTATCACCTTTAATTTTAGGCTTTATTTTATTAAAAAAAAACAATCTAGGCCTTGACGACCCAAAATGAACATGACCCAAAATATTTTGTATGGACAATTATCGTTCATAGCTAAGTAGGCTTGTGAGGTCTGCCTCTGAGAATGGCCCAATATGAGACAATATTCAAGACCCAAAATATACGACACTTGAATCAAACATGAAAGTTTATATCAACAAATGGAATCCATAAATACGAGACAGTATTCATGACCAAAAATGTACGACACTTGAATCAAACATGAAAATATGTATCAATAAATGGAATCATAAATATGGGAAAAAAGAGCTAGTCTTGTTCTATAACACGGCTATTTTGACCCATCCATTCCAGATCATTCCCCAGGTTGGTTTGGACTATACTCTGAGTTGGGGGCTTATTGTAGCTGAATGGAACCTTTCACACCCAATTTCTATAAAAAAATTATGCAATATATTTATCTTCAGCAGGGTGTTCTTACTGGGCCTCGAAGCCGAATTTATACTTCAGAATTCCTAACAATACCGCATTTCTAAAATTTGCAGATCCTAATAACTACGACATTTATTATTCTTATGTTACGTTATATAAGAAAAAATTTATCTTCTATACACACAAATTTAAGATGGGTCATACTCTACTTTTTCTCTCTTTTCCCTTGAAAATTGACTCCACTTATACGAAAATTTTTAATATGTTCCAAGACCACCGTGGTCCTTCTATTCAAAAATTGACACCTTTATTAATTTTTTTTGCTCATCTCTCTCCTTTCTCCTCATCTTTTTCTCTCTTTCTCTCACTTCAGTCTCATTCAATGTTTCCTACTCTCGGACCACATTAAATTCGCTCCACTTGTACAAATGAGTCAATAGGAGATAATTATTATCTCTTACTAAATAAGAAAACTATTACCCACATTACTTGCTTCCTCTAGTGTTTATTTATTCACTGGAGAGAACTATGATAAATGTTTTACACATGTTCACACTGTTCACATTTGAAATAGGGAAAAACTATTATCATGTTATATGAGATAAAAAAATTTTCCTGCACATCCTCCGATAACTGTGCTATCTTTTTTTATTTTTTCAGATAATGGAGCCCTCAAGTTTGTTTCTATGACATGAGATAACTTATTTCCTTTAACATGAGATTAATAAAACTCTTTGAAATGTGGGTATAATGTTTGTCTTAGCCTGCTTTAACAATGTAGTGAAGACACTAGAACATGCTTTACATGCTACAACCAGACCTGGATATCAGAAACTTACGGGATCAAAATATATTTTTCCCATTCATCTTTATGAGTTGTGACTTTGTCAATGATGTGTGATACTTCTCTACAATTCAGCCAAGCCTCATATACTTTAGAATTTGTTATCTTATATTCACTGATCAGCACAAAAATCTTGCTAAATATATAGACATTGATATAGATTAATAGAATAAGCCATTAAAAAAAAGACTCTAATAATACAATCTATAATATATATTATATAAAAGCAAACTTTATGTTTTCAAGATCCACGTAACATGTCATCACTACACTTACTTTTTTTCTATAAAAACTAACTTCTTTGATCTCTCGACATTTAATTTAACTTCTAGAAATTAATTAAAGGGTACAGCACATTTGGTTTTTGCATTCCTTCAATTGGAAATGATGAAATGCAGTTAATTAATTACAATTATAAAAATTGACTATAATCATATATAACTAAATTTGTTATGGTCAAATGTAATTAATCAATTATATAGCCAATGAATAAAAAAATAATATTTTTAATATACATCTTTTAACTAAAAGAGTTGATATATGTAATCACACAAAATTTAATGGTGATAAAGATAACGTAAATCAATTCAAAACTTATTATTACCAAAAACACCAGTTGATTTTTCCTTGACATTAACATCTAAATCAACACATTGACCCAAAATATGTAATTTAGTCATCAACGTACATTAGCAGGGGCGGAGACAGGGGGAGGCTAGGGTGGGCGGCCGCCCCCTCTCCCCACTCCAAAAAAATTAATGCAGTTGAAAGCCAAACATAGTACGATTGTTACAGTTAAATGTGCTTCTTTTAAAAGTTCTGGTTTGAGATTTAAGATGAAATTTACCTCTAGTTCACTTAATGTGTATGTGTTATGTGTAACCTTTTTGCATTTTCTTTTTTATTTTCATATGCTATATTTTGGTTAATAAAAGCTTTGACCTTTTTACCACTCTTTTGCTCTCTTTTCATTTGTATGGTTGTGTTTTTCTTTATGTAGTGGTTTTATATAAAGTAAATAAGTTTGCCCTAACTTAAAAGATTCATTTTTTGGGACAACTTGATTGCCGTCTTTTATTTATTTTTATTTTTTAAAATGTAGTTAAAAGCATTGTTTTAGTTAAGACACTTTTTTTTAATTATTTCTTTTTAAACTACTTTTATATCTGTTGGACCCGATCAATAGTACATTTTTTCAGTGTTTCAAATATTGTTAAATGTTAATATTTTGGTATGAATATATCTAAATGAGTTCCTACGAGGTCAATAGAAACAAAAAATACTAATATTATGTAAGATAAAATATTAATTTTTGCCCCCTCCCCTCTAATCCTGACTCCGCCACTGTACATTAGCAATGTTTAAACTAATTCCATTGAATTTTAAAAATTAGGATTGATATTATGATTCAGTCACATTTTATATTAAACATTACCACTTGATTCATAATGTCAAATTGCAAAAGTAATTTAAATCATAATTAATATTGAAGCAATTAATCCCTTCTCTTTTTTATAAACTAGGTGGATTTTCTTATTTTTCATTTTACCAAGTGTTTTCTTTCATTTTATTATTTTTCTTTCGAATTACTAACTATGTCCCCTGAAAATTTTCGAGTTCCTTGATAAAATTATTATTTTTTGTTTCAGCAATTTGTTATATATTTTTTTCTCTCATTCTTTTGATTCGTTTAATTCTCTTTATATCATGATTAAAAGTTAAAATTATCCATATAATATAAAATTTCATTTCAATATTTTTCTCTCAAACTAATATTTCATTTTTTTTGGTATCATAAATTTTTTTTTATTAAAAACTATATACTTTTTCACTTCGAAAAGAAATAACGAATAAAACAATATTAAGTAAAAATAAATTAATTATATAAAATATTATAATATTTTATATTATGCGGTTCAACCATCCCAATCTAGTTCAGTTATGAGTTGAAGCTACCATTTTAGGTGTTAAGGCTTTTTGAGAGAGGTTGTGATGATGAAACTGTTCGATGCACACTGTCATCTTCAGGACTCAAGAATCTTAAGCAAGACACCCCAACTCATAAAAACTGCACAAGACAAAGGGATTGTGCGATTCGTTGTGAATGGAGTTTGTGAACAAGATTGGCACTTGGTTAAGCAGATGGCTGAAACATACCCTTGTGTTATTCCTTGCTTTGGTCTTCATCCCTGGTCATTCACTGTTTTCACCTTATTCTTATCAAACTCAATTGTTTGTTTGTTTGTTTGTTGATTCACATGTTTTTGTTTTTTGTTTCTGGGTTTTGATGAATTGGGCTTCTGTTTAATGGTTTTGGGCCTTATCTTATGAAATTTTTGCAGGTTTGTCGCAGAGAGGAGTCCCAATTGGTTTAAGACGTTGAAAGAATATTTTGATTCTACACCCTCTGCTGCTGTTGGAGAGGTATTTTATTCCTGTTGATTAACACTTCATGGTTTTGGTGTGTGTGTGAATTGTATGTAGTTAGTTCTATTTGTATGTTCAGGGAAAGCTTTATGTAAAATCTTTATTCATGAAAAATAAAAGAACCACTTTTTTGTGTGGTTTTTTTTTTTTTAATGTTATTTCCATGTAAGCTAGTACATGAAAATAACAGGGAAAAAATACCAAATAAGGATGCTGATATGTGAGGCTAAGCCTGCATATAAAGATTGTGCTCACCTCACACTTGTAGTTGGAGTTTAATGATGAGTGCTTTATTTTCATGTAAGCTGGTAATGACAGTTGCTGAGAGTAAGAAAGACTTGTTTTTTCAAATGGTCCATTCCATGTAGTTTTTCATTCTGGAATTTTTTTTTTATGTTTTTGCAGTTTTCTTTGTATTGGTTTTGTAAACCATGAAACCTCAAAGATGCTTGAAAGTTCACATCACAAATGATAACTTTACATGCTTTTATTTTGAAAGTAAGGATAAAAAAAGTATGATTCTAGCAGTCTATATAGTACCAAGTTACTAGGCTTTGTTTTTCTGGCAGAGAATATGTTTTATTTCATTTTTAAACAAAAGCCTGCTGACTGCTGAGATCTTTGGCCCATGCCTAATTTTTATGCATATGCAGCAGCTATCAAAGTTCATGTGAGTGGCTTGAATGTTTTTACATGCTGACATGCATATTGATACGTTTTCAATAAATCTTTAGAAGAAATTGCTTTTTGCTGTTGTTTGGATGCTTCTCTGAGACTATCTTAATTTTCCATTTTCATCTTCTGTTTCTTTTTGTTTTCTTGCTACTGTAATTAGAGCATTGCTCTATACTTTCCCTATAGTTCTGGGGTGAATATCAGGATACATTATTAAATATTGTGTTTAATTCAACATTTGACGTAATTGAGTTTTTGGCTTCTCCTCAGATTGGCGTGGACAAAGGATCCCAGGGAAGGAAGATTGATTTTTCTGAGCAGGTTTTAGCTCTCTGTTTCATTTTTTGGCCATACAGTTTATTTTTTCGTTAATAATTATGAATCTCTAATCACTTCTCTTGGAGCAATAAGTAGATGCAGAGACTATTCTCAGCTCTGTTAATAACATTATATTAATAGGGGGGTATAGCATAATTTTAGAGATTATTTCGGGCATAGGCTAGGGTGGGCAGAGAGACTCTTCTTTGCTCTGATTGTATTTTCTTGATGATGCATTTTCAACATTTTTGTGTACTCAGAATCTGTGTTCTCTAAGTAGTATTTCCTCTTCCTTTGTAAGGGAGGTTTCCTCCTTGAATACCATTTTACAATAATATCAGTTCCCATCATAATGACTCTGACTTGTATGGTCTATCAAGAAAACAATAAAATAAAATTCAAACTGAATATGTGGTGGGGATAGGACCTAGAAATTTCAGTAATTTTGGAAGTTGTTAGTCATTATTGAGAGAGTAGAGGTTTTCTTTGAAGATGCTGACTTCTGAGTATTATTAGTTGTTGCCATTTGTTTGTCTCTGAGGCTTCATTGGTTTAAGGATGAGCTAATTTTCAAAAGACTGTAAACATAGCATTTAGGCTTCAAAATGGGACTGACTACAACTGCTCACTGAACAATATTTTTCTTCATATAAAAGGTTATTTTTCTGTATAGATTCATTATCAAAATTTTGTTGTTTGTGATGCTGCCTCTAATGTAGTACATACAAGGGTTCAAGTCCAGTTCCATGCACTTACAATAAGGATGACATTTCATTGCCTGATTATCAAATACAGTTCTGGACTTTATGGAAATTTGAATCTATTCAAAAGAAACTGACATGTAGCTTTTAACTTTATGGCAGCCTGAATCTATTCAAACGAAACTGACATGAAGCTTTAACTTTAATATGAAACAGATGGACTGATCATATATCATGGACTGAAGATAACCCTTACTTGCTAAAGAATGTTAGCTAGACTGTTGGTTACTAATGTATTAAGATGTCTGTGCAGGTTGAAGTTTTGAGGAAGCAGCTTGAACTTGCAAAAGAGTTAAACAAGCCAGCATCTGTACACTGTGTTCGTGCTTTTGGTGACCTTCTTGAGCTAATGAAGTATGGATATCTATTCCACTCTCTTTTGTTTTATTGTTACTTAAAAAGATTGTTTGAGATTGAGAATAATGTTGAGAATCTGTCAAGAGTTTTTGAATTGTAAAACTTCCTTCCCATAGTAGTGAGGTGATCAAAAAGAGAAAAAGAAGATATTTTAGATAAGGATGTATTCTGTACTGTACTGCGGGTGGTGAGAATCTGCTTTTTACTATATTTTAGTATTTAAACTTGAGATTTGTTGCATGGGGCAGTTTAGATGTGTAAATGTTTTTTCTTCCAGTTGTGCTTTTGCCATTAGATTAATCAGCTCAAAATATGTGTTGTGTCAGTAGACTTTTGCAAGTATTTAAGACTTTTATATTATATTAGGAAAATTTTCTATCTTCGTTACTAGAAATGGAATTGTGATTCACTTAATTTGTTTTCCATATACTCTCTTGAATTGCTTTGAGATTTAGTTACTATGGAGGACCAGTGCTTCTTAGTTGTAGTTGGATTGGATATTAATTCAGTAAACTCTATTGGAGATTTGGCATCCTCAACGTTTTCTCTTGCTTTAACTGGTGCCTGATAAACAGATAATATAGTCCAGGCATAATCAAACTGTCCAACGCAATGGACCTAGAATCCATCCATGGATTCATACAGAAAATGGTTTCGTGCCAATATTTACATCATATAACATATTCTTCATACATTCATATACATACCAACATCAAAAGTGTTTAATGGCATAAAGGCTATACATGCCTTAATTACAACCGATAAACATCATATATACACATATGTCTCAAAATGCATATTAGACTATATATCAATGCATGATTATACATATGATCATACTTCATGATCCAAAATAATATATACAGTCATCCACATATACAAAATCTCTAACAGAGCACGAGTCCTTTAACTTTGTACGGGCCTCTTGCTCTGTGAGGGCCCCTCTCCTGCTGCTGGAGTACCTAGATCATGTTCCCCAAACGAGGTAAGATTACAACATCTCAGTAAACTAAGGTTTCCAGAGCAGTTCTTCACCCATGAGTTCACTTCCTGCGTGAAAGGTCAGATCAGTGTTTTAAAACTCGGACCGGTCATCGAACCGGTCGAGGTATTGGGTCACTGAGTCACTGGTTCAACCGGGTTGAACCGGATTTACTGTTCACATATTAAAAATATAAAAATATTACTTATATTAATAAAAATTCGTATAAGAAAACTATCAATAAGCTTCAAGAAATAAATTGATTTTCAATGGTAGCAAATATTATATATTTCTAAGCTTCTAGCTCTAGACCATATCCTAATATTGGATTAAAATTGCAATATAAGTTAAATGTACCTTTTGTGCTTGACATAATACGGATAAATTAAATCATGATAATAAATAGTATGCATGAAATATACACTAAAAAAAAAGTGTCCACCGTTGTGATGAGATCATGAGGCCATAAGTGTTTATCACCACTTAACTTCATGAGATCATTATAAGATGCAACTAAATTACATAAACGAACTGCAATAATCTAAAATACCTTATTATTTTCACCTTACCTTTAATCATATTCATCATAAAATATGAATATGATTTAATTCAAGAGTTCTTATCAACAAAAAAAAATTTACCAAAAAAGAAAAAAGAAAAAGGAATAACCGGTCTAACCCGGGTCAACCGGGTCGCCGGGTTTCGGCTGGGTCAACCGATCCAAACCGGGTTGACCGCAGAAGCGATCTAACTACCCGCTTGGACCGAGGAACCCACCGGGTCACCGAGTCCCGAGTCGACCCGGCCGGTTCGAGCCGGGTTTTAAAACACTGGGTCAGATAACATAGTATAAGAGACTTCATATAGCTTATAACATACATACGACTTCAAAGAGTTTAAGTCCTTAAGGATAGTCCAAAACTAACCATACCTTGAGAGAAGACCACTCAGGCTCTTTAACTCTACAAGACACATCTAAGAGAGAACCACCTAACTCCTTAACTTTTAGACTCATATGAGAGAAGACCGCATGATTCCTTAACTCTGAGACAACTAACACATTCTATTGGCCCTAGAAACACACAATCATACATATATAGAATTCATCATTTCATATCAAATCATCACATATACATATTTATATGAATGCAACTATACCAAATATCTAACATTCATCCAATCATACAAACATCAAACCATAATCCCATTGGACCATGGTGGAACAACCAAGAAGGAGAAAAACTCTTAAATCAAAAGCTTACCTCTTGTAACTTTCCTTCCAAGATTACTTGCAATTCAAGAAAGCCAATCCAAATTAATTCCACACCAAAATCACCTATTTCAAGTAGGAGATTGGAATCCTTAATTCACATCATGCATCAAATATTGACCTTATAGTCAAAACACTAATATAAACACACTTAACACACTTATTGACCAAAGTCAACTCTTCAACTTATTAAAAATTGCTAATTGGTCCTTGGAATTTCATTAATTAATAACTTAATCTAGAAACAAATCCAACTCTTAATTATTTCATTTTGGACGCACCAAATTTCCTAAATTTTCATCTTATGCCATTATCTTCAAGTTTAGAGCAACTTTTTCTTATTTGCAAGTTGGCCCCTAAATTTTCCCATAATTGCACTTTGGTCCCTATACTTTTCATAATTATATTTTGGTCCCTAAATGACTTGATTGGCAAGAATTCAATTCTTTATCACATTTATCTCATCAAATCCTTAAATAATTCTCATTTACACAACTTAATAACGCTGGTTATTATAGGGAACTAGGGGAATCTGACAATCCGGGTCAGTTCTTAGAGGTTCTTTTGGGTTGCTTCTTGTAATTTCTTCTCTGGTGTAATTGTATTTTCTATCAATACCATAAGTTTCTGTTTTGGGTTCCATCAGGCTGAAAAGCTGTGGGATGAACAAGAGTGAAGGGCTGTGTGTGTAGGAGATGCAAGAGGGGAATTGGATAAAATGGGAACATGCTTGCTGCAGAGGAAATGCCAAATGGATGAGTTTGGGAGCTGTAACTAGAGTCATCTCTTTGTTGTATTCTGCAACTTTTCCATATTTGGTGACTGGTGTTGCTGTTTGTGTTCTGTCCAGAAGGCCATCTCTTAATTTGAGGAGCTAGTCTCCTCCTCACATACTCCTCTATAGTAAATTTCAGTTCTTATCACAATGCAGACTGCTTCCAGAATGTATTTTCCACATTTGTAACCATTCCAGGCACGTTGAGCAGAAAGGATAAGCAAACACGAAGGAACTTTAGAGTCTGCTGTAGTCCTAGTTCAAGTAATGAAATCCATTATCATTGGTACTGCAGAAAAAATGCCAAATTGGGCCAAAAATTAAGCATTCAAAGCTGCATCAAGTGCCTTGTTGGCAATCATTTTTGCCTTATCTGATATGCTTTCATGATAATCAGAGGAAGCCAGGTATGTTTTGCCATATAGGAGTCTGTATACTGTGAGGACTGTCACCATAGTGTAGACATCATAACCAACATAGTTAAGAAAACCGGTTCAACCAGGATACAGTTTAATGAAAATCAAAGGAAGCAAGATATGTTTTTCCATATAGGAGCCTGTATACTGTGAGGACTGTCACCATAGTGTAGACATCATAATCAACATAGTTAAGAAAACCGGATCAACCGGGATATAGTTTCACAAAAATCAGAGGAAGCCAGATATGTTTTTCCATATAGGAATCTGTATAATGTGAGGACTGTCACCATAGTGTAGACATCATAACCATCGTAGTTAAGAAAATTGGTTCAACCAGGACCCCGTCTGTTGAGCGGTTCAGTCCAGCCTCTCAAACCAGTAATTTATAAACCGGTCATTCAATTACTGAACCGGTGGCAAACCATCTTGAACTGCACAAACCGGTCATGGTTTAATTGATGAATGGTTCAAGCTTTATTTCTCTAAAATACGAAATTTCATTGATAAGCAACAATTGTTAAGAAGGAAGTTAGAATTCTGAAGAAATTGAGAAGCCGTTCAACCCTGTAAGCATCCCTGGCTATCACATTGTTTTGTCTGTCCTTTTCATGACTACTGTCTTAGAGCTTAATTGATGTAATGTGATTATTCATTAGGTTCTTGCAGAAGAATACTGGAGGCTTTTACCTATGTTATGAAACTTTAACCTCTTATTGTTAACTTGGCCTCTATTGTTAGATTCTTGTTATATAATGGAATGCCATGGAATTAGTGTTATAGTGATTGATGTTCTCATTAATCATTATGAAGAGGCATCTTTAAAAATACAGTCCTCCTTAAATATTTCAATATTTCCAGGTCTATGGGACCTTTTCCTGCTGGTGTCATTCTTCATTCTTACCTTGGTTCTGCTGAGATGGTTCCTGAATTTTCCAAGCTTGGTGCTTATTTTTCCTTATCTGGGTTTCTTATGTCACTAAAAGCAAATAAGGCACAGAAAATGCTGAAGATGGTGATTTTCATCACTTCTGTTATATGATTAATGTTCAATGTAATGTTACACTATATATGTCAAAACAGTGACATTCTTAATTTTTTTTTATTCTATTCAGGTCTCTTCTGATAGGATTTTGTTGGAGACAGATGCTCCTGATGCGCTACCGAATTCAAACATAGATTCTCTTCTTTTTGTAGAAGGAGATCCTTCTCTGCCCGAAGAGTTTATTGGCCAAAGAGCAACTTCATCCTCAACTTCTGGTTCTTCTTCTCTCGGTGATTCATCCCATGTCTTCACAGATACTTCGACTTTGCCAAAGGAAACGCTCAATCATCCTGCAAATATTCATAACGTATGTAGCTCAATTAATCACCTTTTTTTTTGTCACCTACATCATTCTATTGGAGATATATGTTAGTCTTTTTTATTATGGAATACAAAAAAAATCCTAGTTCGAGCTTGCTTTCGTGAAATAATAATTTGTTTGGTAATGTATGAATTAATAGCATTGACATATCTTGAAGCTTTCAAAATCTACCTCTCACCTGTCTCTAGTTTCAAATTATACAAAAATCTCTCCCATGATAACACTGTATAATTTCAAATTAGAGGGGCATGTAAGTTACACTTAACTTCTGGGGATGAAAATGTATTATTCTCTCTTACATGTATAATGTTAACTTCCCTCTTACATTGCAACAATAAGTATGAATCGTGTGGGAAAGCCTCAAATTAAACAAGCAGGGACAATAGCTAGCAGTATATATATATATATATATATATAGAGGTAAGATCCTTTGACATTAGTGTCAAATTTCAAATTTGACACCTCATGTGAGAGCCGTTAGATCAAAAAAGATCAACGACTCTGATTTGTAAGAATGTGACACCATTGATCTTTTTTGATCTAACGGCTTTCAGATGAGGTGTCAAATTTGAAATTTGACACTGGTGTCAAAGGATCCTGCCTCGTATATATATATATATATATATATACAAATATATATAGGATCAGGATCATTTTACATTGGTTTAGTCTTACACCACATCTCAACCGTTGATTTCCGTGCATCTAACGGTTATAATTTAGGAAGTTATATGAATTCATTAATATTAATTAATCATTAATTACACTACAAATACCAACTGATGATTTTCGTCCATCAACGGTTGAGACGTAGTGTAAGACTTGTTAGTCTTATACTAGTGTAAAAAGAACTTGCCCTATATATATATGAGTTCACCTTTTTTGCAGTTGCTGCAGATAAGTTATCTGCAATAAGACCAATACGACGTTGTTTTGGGGCGGAAATCATGATGTTTTTGTAATTTTAATTTATTTCAGGGTTATTATAGTCTTTATAATTATAATTATAATTTTTTAATATTTCAATCCTAAAACGACGTCGTTTTGGGAGTAAATGCAAATAACTTATCTGCAGAAATATTTTTCTATATATATATATATATATATGAGGTAGGATCCTTTGACACCGGTGGGATCCTTTGACACCGGTGTCAAACATCTAAGAGCCATTAGATCAAGAAAAATCAACGGCTCTGATTTCTAAGTATGTGACACCATTGATTTTTTTTTATCTAAGGGCTCTTAGGTAAGGTGTCAAAATTTAAATTTAACACTGATGTCAAATGATCCTACCTCCGTTAAGTATTGTAGATTGCATATCTCGCATGCATGTAAAAGGAGCTGTTTTGTTAGATTTATATTTTTCAAATCATTCCACTTCCAGGTACTTGATTATGTTGCATCTTTGCTAGAGATTACGAAAGAAGAACTTGCTGAATTAAGTTACCAGAATGCAGTCCGCTTATTCTCCTATGAAGGTTCGAAAGTACTTCAAGAGTAAACAAACAGGTTCTTGTAAGAAATTACTCCTAGCTTAGCAAAATTTAATTTGTGTAGTACTAGTTTCGTCGAAGGTACGAACAGATAGATGGTAAAAACACTTTGTTAATCTGTGTGAAATATATGATAGTTTACATGCCTGCCAAATTGGACTACATTCAATATTTCTAAATAAAAGGTGGCAAGGTGTGTGAATGATTTTACTATTGCTAAACATGGAAGTCTATCTACCAACTATATAACTAGAGCAATGAGAATGTTCAGTACTACACATGAATGCTTCATAAATGTCAAATGAACTATTGCTCTCGTAAAGTGTTTTTTAGTTTTAGTAATTTGGAGGTAATTAACAGTGCATGTGTCTTCCTGTGGGATTTCAACTCCCCTCAATCTTCCTTTTTATTAAAAAGCAACATTTAAGATATAACCGAAATGTAATTCATGCTTGACTTGATCCAAGCCGATCTCTTGGTGCCAATCGAATTTGCTTGAATAATTACGACTTGATTTCTTGGTGGAACAACCTTTTAAATTAACTAAGAAGTCGTCATCACTAAATCAAAATATAAATGAAAACCAAGCTTCAGGAATGAAAATTCGTGAAGATTGCACACAGGTGACCCAAGGAACCGGGAGTCATTCTTTTGCATGGCAACCTACTCATATCGAGGTTATATGTACAGCACTAGCATTTAATATACTACCTTCAGATTGATTCATGGGTGACCAAAACCTTAAGAAATGAGTAAGATTTTCTCAGAAGAGGAAAGTAAATAATGTATCAAGGTCAAATTTAATTACAGAAATCAGTTTGTCATGTTGCATGAATGATACTGTTCATTCTTGTAACAGGATTTGTCGATGGATCCTGACTTTTTTTACTAGGATCCGTTGACGGATTCTGTTTTTTTTAAAGTATGAGACCCACACTTGATTTGTGTATGCAAGAACACAATACCTGTTCTGTGACATGATAAAAAGCGAACCCATTTAATTATATGTACTCCTACATCGGATGAGTTTAGAAGACCTGAAAAAAAAGAAGCAAACAAGTTCAAGGAGCTCCAGACCTCTGAACTCTATGCAAAAGCTCCAAAAGGGAAAAAGAAAATACAATAACTATATAAGCTCTTTCTAATGATATAGGAATCCCTATTTATAGCCTTTTTAACAATTTTGACGCTTCATATCTCCAATATCTTTGTGATCATTCGTAGCATGCAGTAAAAATCTTTTTCTTATTTTTTCACGATTTTCTTTGGAGATATTTCAATCGGTTGATCGCATTGCGACTACCGACTAGTCCAATTCGAGACAAGTCCCGGGATTAAGACTTTAAACTCGTTCCAAAGACGATACTGTGGTGGATCAAATACATGCTCTGATCTCCACCTGTTTAATTTCCTGGCATCAATTGAGCTATCATCATTTGATCTTATTTTTTCACAATGAATCGATTGCAAGCATTACAATTGTGCCTCCAAAATTCCCTTGACTATTGCACTAAGAGATGAGCCAATAGACCTTCAATTGATTCATTAGCTTCAAGAACCACCCTCAATAGGTCATCACCACTTCCAACAAACTCTCCCGTCCCTCAACAGATCTTTTTTGTTTTATAAGAACACGAGGAAAAAAGGGAGGAAGGGTAAAAAAAGAAATAAAAGCTAGAAGAAGACGAGAAATCCAGCGAAACAAGTTTTACTTACACATAGTAAGCATCATCTCTTTGAAGAATTCCCTGCGGAAACAAAACGACGAGGTCATTAGAGATGAGAGCAATAAATGCCTTGGACACAAGTATGATGCAGTACTTTCACCCACAAACTGAGGCAAACGAAGAATTGGACACAAGTCCATTTAGCCGTGAAAACAAACCCAAAACACAAAGATCATGTCATTAAGGCAGGTCAAACGACAAGCACCAACTTTTTCTCAACAATCAAGAAGAAAATGTGAAATGTGTATAGTCACTTCAAATGTTAAACATCTTAGGGATAAACCTTCAAACGTAATCCGTGAAGATGGGGACACTTTGGATAGACCTTGGCTAAAATTTTGAATTCGAAGACTTAAACCTCCGAACTTGATCCCTAAAGTGGGGCACACTCTAGATGATTTTTGCTGAAACTTCAAAATCCAAGGATCAAAACCTTAGGACGTAACCCCTGAAAATCATAATCCAAGTAATGAAACCTCAATACATAATCCCTGAAGAAAGACACACCCTGAATGGGCCTCGGCCAAACATTAAAATTAAACATGAGGATCGTAACTTCCTGATGTAATTCCTGAAGAATGTCACACTCTAGATGAACCATGAGTAAACTTTAAAATATGAGGAACTAAACTTTTAACCTTTGAAGTGGGGCATACTCTATACGACCTTGGCTAGAACTTAGAGTTCGTGGAGTATAACCTCCGGATGCAATAACAAAAACCCGATGAAGAAACTCAGAACAACTATAATATTAAAAATAGGGAATTGAAACATTTGGCTATAAACCTCGAAGAAAGGCTTACAAGCTCGGAGTACATCATCTTAGAATAAAGGGAAAAGTTCAAATAAATATCCCTTTTCCTTTGAATCACTTACCCCCTATGTTTTTTTTATAACATTTATCCTCCTGTGCTTTTTTTCCATCCAAGTCCCTCCTTAACACAAGGAGATATTTGAACTTTTCCCTAGAATAAAATCTGCATTTATAAATCAGCACTTTGATAAATGAAACACTAAGCCACGAGAAATTTTTATGGACTGATTATACAGCCCAAAAGGTAAACCCATTAACCAATCTCAACATAGATGTTAGAGATATATAAAACCATTAATGTAGTCTCACCTACCAGCTTAAGCTTTTGGGTTGAATTAGTTCTTTACATAGCATCAGTGTCACGGGTTCTATCTTCACCGCCTCGCACTTTCTCTTGTAAAATTTCTTAGCACAGGTAAGCAGGACCTGCTGCACCATCCATCCTTTAAGATTAATGGGCTCTCATGTTAGAGATATTTAAAACTATTAATGTAACTTCACCCACTAGCTTAAACTTTTTTGTTGAATTGGTTCTTTACAATAGGTTTGCATCTATCACACTATGCAAGACTTGGCCAAAAGGCTACATGAAAAAGCTAAGCCTTGCTCTCAAAATAAAGGCTAACATGCCAAAACATAAAATCTTGAACCTACCTACAAATATTGGGCTCTTGCCCTCAGGTATTCACCTTCCTCTAATGCATGTCACTTATACATTTACTCAAGCGTTAAAGTCCTTACAGGTGCGCACCACTCCTTGCTCGTTGAAGCCTTCAAGGAACCTACGCACTGGTGCCCATCGGCAATGGAGACAAACAATCTCAGGCATATAATTCCCAAGCTTACCTTGGTTAATGCACCACAGGAAATCCTAGAGGTTTATACCTCAAATTTGACCATCTATCCATAGAAGAAGGAGTCCAAACTGTGGACCAACAGACACAACTTGTCTGAAACTTGGATGAGGTCTAACACACCCTTATATGGATCAAACTTCTAGGTCAGACCAATTTTTATTGGAGATTCGATTCATTATTTATGGAAAATAAATAAAAAAGAAAATAAAAAATGTTGGCAATCATACTTATTTTAGCAAATTAGGCACAACATTCTCTATAAAGTGCAATTGACCTGATTGTCGTGGTGTTGGAAAGATAAAAAAAGATCTACAAATCTTTTTCTGACAACAATTACTATTTTATTTGTTGTTGATTAGAAATTTTAGTAACAAGTTGATGAATTTCATGTAAACTTAACAACATGCTACCCTAATTTCCTAAGCTTCTTTGGGAACAAGAGCGGTGGCTAAGGGGAAGAAGAAGAGGAATCCACTCTGGCAAAGAACCACCAAGTGTTAATTGCCAATCTCTTCTTATTCATCTTCATCTTTTTGTATTTTACCTTAATTGCATTAGCGATGACTCACATCGGTGATGTCTTCTCCAACAATAATATTTTAAATTTCTCTTCTAGGATTTTTAATATATCTCTACATATAGTTTTGTTGGGTTAAGGAGCTTGACTCGGAACAAATCCTATTTGCGAAAACGAAATAAACGTGTCAGAATATGGGAAAAATAAATAAGTATAAAAAACACAAACAAAGAACACAAAATAATTTTCAACATGGAAAAGCCACTTTCAATATAAGGAGTTAAAACCTTGAGACCAATAGGTATACGAAAACTTCCACTATGAGAGTAGGATTACAAAGATGATCTCTCTAGTGCAAGACTAGAGGTTTGCACACAAATAATTCACCCACTAAGGATGGTTTACAACAATTTTTTTTCTCACTTGGAGAATTTCACTCTCACCTTTGTGGTGGAACTCTATTTTTCTCTCTCTTTAGGAGGAACGCTTTCACTTGGAGGATTTCTCTCTCACATTTGGAATAATTTTTCCAAGTCTAGATGATTAGGAAATAAACTAGGAAAATGACTTTTAGCCAAAGTTGTCTTGAGCCATATGCACAATTCGAGCTATGTGCAAACCTAGAGCCATGTGTGTAGCACCCCATTCTAGATCGATTTGTTAGCATCACTTATGGTATTAAGCGCAAAATAATTTAATAATAAAGTGGAAGACTAGATTAAAAGTATCACCATTACACCTAGGTAAATATGTGAACTAACTTTTTCCTCATCCTTATGTATTGCTTTACGTCGCTAATTAAACTTGCACCTTAAAGGATTATACACAAGTAGGAATATGGATGAACTTTTATTTTCCTAAGCTTGGAACATGTGGCGTTCCCAATACATGAGGAATTCCCAGTACATGAGGCGTTCCCAGTACATGTGATGTTCCCTACAAATAGACTATTAAATTCTTGATAGCAAGTTTAATATGGTTTATGGAAGCTTCGATTCTACATTAAATTGGGAATGCTTCGCTGGCCAACTTTTTTTGATATTTGGGTAAAATAAGTTAGACTTCTAGGGCTTTAAAATGATATAAAATATGTTCCATTTGATTAAGAATTGAGTAAGATATGGATGTTCTAAGTCGACCATACTTAACAGGATTCAAATTGACAAAACTTGGTTGTTCTATGGTAGTTAGGGATGTCTCCCAAGCTTAGTACCACCTGATTGACCATTCCTTATATTCATACACAATATTAGCCATTTTAAGGAATCATCTAATCCCTCAATGAATCTTTGCATCAAAGGCTCCATGCCAATGAATTACATCATTTGTAATATCATACATAAATCTTC